GCACCATTTCCCAGAGTTCCAGTTTTGCATTCTGTCTGCATTTAATCCTTCTCTTCAGGAACTTGAGAAGCAGGCAGGCAAACTTTCTTTAGGTTTTTGAAAGGTTAACTACTATATGAAGAAATACAAAGACAAGATATTAAAAATACCTGTATTGATTTCCTTGCCTAGCTTTTGTCACCACTTGTGGGAGTACTGTCAGTCTTCTAAGGGAATATGAGTGTCTGCCAGACACGTCTTCAGCTCTGAAGCCTGGATTACGTGCATGTATCATGTTCATGCCTTTCTCTTCCATGTAGATTTCTTTTGTCTGTGGCTGGTCCCTATAGTTGAAAGCAGGGAGGTTATAATGAAGCGAAGTTCGGTGTTGCTTTGAATAGAATACTAATGCTATTTGAGTTTTGATTTTTTTTTTTTTTTTTTTTAAGCCAACTTGGGTATGAGTACTGAAATTGCTTGCGCAATTACAGTGGAAAGCTATCTTGAGAGACATTGTTACGAGCACCTTTATCAACACCTTATTTTTGTCGTTTCTGACAAAGTTCTGTTTCTTCAGACTTCCCCTTGCTGACAGAGGTAGCCGATCTGTTTTTCAGCCGCTTGGAGGGAGCCATTGGGGTTTACCAGCTGTCCCCACTGCGGGAGACAAGCAGCAGACATGTTACAGAAGCTGGGTGGCTCCAGGTGCCCCAGTGGCAACTAGGCTTACAGCAGATTCTTTGGTCCAACCAGAATCTGCAAGTTGCATTAAAATTTTTTTTTTTTTTTTTTTTCCAGATTGTCCCAGGATGTTTACACAAGAAAACTCTAAGCCACTTTCTAGTCACTTACCTATGAAGTTAATGAGTATAATGGATAATTAGAGAATTAAGTCTAATGAACGTGACAAATCTATTGTTGTTTTTCTTACCTAGCCAGGGTTCTGAACTAGCATTGCAGGGAAGAGAGCTTGCTAATCACTTCAAGACTGAAGGAACTCCAGTTATGATTGGTAAGTGCCCCCGAGTATCAAGGAATGCCAATCAAAGTGCATGGCCTCCCTGTGCTGAATTTCATTTCAGTTAGAACTCTTTCAGTTTACTGTGCAAGAGTTAAAACTCTAGATGAATTAAAAGTTAGGCTTTTCCCAAGGGAGCTTGGAAAACGATACAATTTAGTCTGGCTGGTATCCTTTCACTCAGTATTTTGCTCAAGTTCAGTATTAAACCTGGCAACAAAAGTCAGTCTAAATGGTGTTCTCAAAAACTGCTTGAGAGCTGACTGCTGCTCCTCCTCATACAGCTCCCCAAAACTTCTCATCACAGAAGACTAGTGTTTATCTGGCTTTGAAGAGAAAGGTATTATCCAAATTCTTTTTTAAGATCAGTTTTAATAATCTGAATATAAGAAATGCCATTCATAAGAATGCTGTAACTTTAACTGTACTATTTCCAAGACGGCTGTGGTTTAAAATGAAGAATATTGAAAATATCATTTTCAGCTTTAATAAAATTTTTATTTTGGCAATTTTCACAATCTGTATTTGGCAGTCCATGAAGATAGTGTTACCCTCTCAAATTAGAGGTGCCAGAAGTCCAGGTTTTGGTATGAAATATTCTTGGCCTTTTAACAGCCTTTTTGTCTGAATTTCAAGAATTTAGAATCCAAAATTGAAAAATCGTTTCGTGTGTGACTTCTCTGTATTGCTCTTTTGTAGATTGGTTTAATTATTGTTGCTGCTGTTGGAGGGGTGGAGGTTGGCTTTCTGGGGTAGGTTTGGGGGATTTTTTTTTTCCTTGTGTTCTTTTGGGCTTTTTGCAATTCCTATCTGTTGTGTGGAGTCACTGCTACAGTGTCCCAAGGACCTAAACTCCTCATGCTATCTGAAAGAAACATGCAGGAGTCTACCTGTGGCCAGCTCATCAAAATACCCCCTTTCCCTGTTTGCAGGCTAGAGAAAGCCTGCAGTATCTGCCTTTAATATCCATCGATGGAACTCAAAGATAAACTTTATCCAGAAATTCTGATTTCTGTTCTAATCTTAGTCCTTTTACAACCAGGAAGTTTTCCAGATTCCGTTTCTACAGTTAAGTTTCTTTAAAGAAAAAGTGAGCAAAACAGATGTTTGAACTATTCTTGACTTCATCTGGTGGAAGTGTTGAGGATTTAACTTGCCTTGCTGACATAGAAGAAAATTGGAAAGTTAAATTCTCTAGTTGTATTAAGTAAAGTAAAAGAAGTAATCTTCCCTAGTTGTAGTAAAGGTACGTTGTTTAATAACGTGAAGGATCTTATGTAGGCCCGCTGCAAGATTGTTCTGATAACCAAGCTAATCTGTTAATAGAAAGCGCTGATACACCTTTATTTTAGGCTTGCACATTTAGCCAATCTCAGTGCAAAATTTTTAGCAATTTATGTTCCTCCTGTTTTAGGTGGAGGTGTTTTGGCTCACACAATATTAGGAGTGGCTTGGAATGAGATTACAGGGCACATAAAGTATTTGATTCTAGACCCACATTACACGGGAGGAGAAGATCTGCATGTTATTTTGGAAAAGGTGAGGCTTGATGCATATGTCCATATACATATGTATGTATATACACGTATTTTGGCATTAAACAAATAACGTATAGCCAAATACAAATTGGCCATTTTATGGCTTCTCCGTTCCTTATGGAGCAAGTGCTGATCCCAGTTAACCTGATATGTGCTACTTATTGTTATTTACTGAAACTTAGTGTCTTTGGAAAAAATATATTGGGTCAGCAACTACATCAATTTATTATAGTACAAAGGAATGTGCTTTACTTTCTCTGAATTAAACTATCTTCCTTTTTACCCAGTAGTATAAACAATAAATGTGTTTGGTATTTTGAACGGAACAGAAATATCTGTTCAGCCTGTAAAATGCTGGGTTTGCAGCAGTGAAGATAACCATTTATTTAAAATTAAAAATAAAAAAATAAAAAAATCTAACACTAGGCATTCTCAGATCAGGCCTTGAACTAAGTTTAAAGGGTGGGTACTGAGCTGTTTTGAAAATCTGGGAAAACTAAAGAGCTAAAGGATACTTAATGTTATTTCCATATTTAAAGGGGATGGGGCAGCGCATTACAAACCAGTAACCATAGTGTCAGAAACGCGAACTGTGAAAGTGACTGATCAGCCTATGGCTGTTATCAATAAAAAGCAGCTTCCGTTTCCTGTCTCTATTTGACCCTTGGGTTGGGCCCAACTGGAAAACCTGTTGGAAGAAACATTTTGCAAGCCCTGTAACCATCAACGCTTCGAATGAATACAGAGAGTTCCCAAAGACCATCTGT